AGTCAGGACAAGACTTAGGGACACGTGGATAGGAGGAAATTCATGAATCATCATGAATTTCCATGTCATGATGGAGAATATGACATGGAAATTTCTAGTAGCGCAAGTTCATTGATGGTGTTACCATATCACAATTAATTTACCTTATTAATGATATAATTGTTGTAACAAATCTTCCAGGTCATTAAAAAGCTGAGTTCTTACAGCCAGTGCCTGCTGTCCAGTCCCCTCATAATGCTGAAGACATGGTCCAAGTAAGTGGTGAAAAACAAACTTCAGGTCATTGTCTCCACCAAACACTTCTCATTTCCTTCCTAAATTTAAAAAATTCAGTGCTGAGAAGGGTGGTGGAGGCTGTGACCTTGGGAAAATGAGTTTTTCTGCTGGGCTCTGCTGGCCACTGAGCTGTGCCCAGGTGCTGCCCAGCCCTGTGAGGAGTGGCAGGTGAGCCACTGCTGCCCTCTGAGCTTTGCTTTGCAATTTGGCCGCTTCCTCTGCCTTTATTTATTTTCAAAACCATCTTTCCAACCAGCACTGGGGTTTTTTTGGTGGCACCTCCATGCTGTGACCCTCCTGGCAGCTGTCACTCCCCTTCTCTCCCCTGGTTCTCTCTCTCAGCAAAAGGAACTTTCTCAGGTTTGCTCTGACTTCTCCTGGCGTTGATCAGCGCAAGGATTTGTCACTTTTATGGCAGAAGTGGCAGATGCTGTCTGAAGCCCTGCAGTGACCGAGTTTCAGTCAGGTCAGAGCTCAGCACGGCCCCTGGGGGCTCCTTTTGGCTCTGCCTTGAGCTCTGCAGCTTCAGAGGAGACACCAGAGCCACCTGCTGCTGCTTCTGACCACAGGAGGTTCTGGTGGGGAGGACAAACTACTTGTAGTGAATTTTCTTCAACCAGTAGCACATTCTGTATGCAGGGGTTGTGTGTTTGTACATCTGTATTTAGCCTTTTCCAATGATGTAGGGTTCCTAAAGGTAAGCTGAACGCTCCAGCTCTGCTAAGCTCTGCTAATGAACGTTTGTTTTACTGCTTCATTTCATTAATTCAGACTTCAGCCCAGGACAGAAGCTCTCCTGCAAGCTCTAGTTAAAGAAAATTGTGATAATCGTGATGCTTTGGTGGCTGCGTGGAAGAAAAACCCTAAATGTGAGTTCTGCTTGCCTAAGTGGGGTACCTCGAGCACGATTGAGTTATAATTTCAAAAAATTGACTATTTCACTTGTTAAACTCCAAATATTTCCTATTTTCTTATCAGGAGCAGTAATGCCCTGTGTTTGGTTCTTGTGAAAAATGACAGAAAGCACTTCAGAAAGGAACATTTATTTGTATTCTAAGATTATTTTTTTCTGTAGTTGTAACCACAGTTTAAATGTATAGACTATGGTGGTACTTTCCATGGATATATTGAATTTTTTTCCTGGTAGAGTGGGTTTTTTTTCAATATTGGGTGCCAGATGATAAGAATTCTTTCACAGAAGCAGCAGCAAAGTGCTGCAGTGAGGCTCACAGAGATTCCTGAGGATTCTGTTGGCTGTGCACGGAAACATCCAAGCTCCAGCAGCATCCCAGCAGTGGGTGATCCCTCAGGAGCTGATATTCCAGCCAGACTCTCTAACTGCTCCTCTCCTCTGCAGATCTGCTCGCAGCCTATTGCCAGTGGCTGCCCGAGGCCATGCACCAGGAGCTCGCCCTGAAGTGGCCACCAGTGGCCCTGTGACTCTTGATGTTGATGGATTCATTTTCTCCGAGATGTTTTGAGATCTTCCCAAGGGTTTCCTTGGAAATCTGGAACAGATGGACTCACCAGCTGTAGCAATACCTTTTTGTATCAAACCAGGTGGTGTTGTGCTTTCCCAGAAGTCCTGCCAGCTGTTTGGCTGGTATTTAATAATAGTAATGTTTGGATAATTTTATCCATTGTATTTTATGGATTTGTTTTTTTTTTAACCTAGTTTCTCCTTGGACTATATTAGTCATATGAACTGTAATAAATATGTAAAGTTCTTGGTCTGGATGGGGGAAATGTTTGCTGTGTGGGCTGCTGCAGTGAGCAGAATATCAGAGCTGTGCAGGCACATCCTCACGGTGTCAGACAGAATCTGGGCAGCTGCTCAGGACAGGAAGCACAAAAATGAGGAATTTCATGGGTTGAGATAGGAATGGTTTAATTAGTGAAGGGAAGAAGCTTGAGTTTACCTTCACCTGATCCTTTTGAGCCTTGGTACAACCCACTGCTCACACTGCTGCTTGTGACACTCCTGCAGGAGAAAGGCTGGACAGGGACCCTCCTGTCCCCGTGTTCTGAAGGAAACTGCCTGGATGTGTGTCCATAATTCTGTCCATAATTCCCACTGCTCCCACGTGCTTCAGGGGCAAGGCCAAAAGACAAGCAAGCATGAAAAACATCTAAAGCTGAAGAAACAGCAACTGTAGGTTTGGAGCCAGAAGGGAAAGCAGCCCCTTGGTGTGTTTTCAGACAAAGGCTGGGTTTTGGGGTTTTTTAAGCACTACTGGGTTTGGAACAGCCCCAGGCAGGAGGGGCTGGGGGCTCTTGGCAGGGCTCCTTTCTTTAGCAGGAATCGTAGCACAGGTCTGCACTATTGTAAATGCAGGTGACCCCAATGGGAAGAAATGCTGATGTCTGACTCAATTCAGAAGGCTGAATTATTTCTTTATTATAACTATGCTAAAAAAAAATAATATATTATATAAAAGGAGGATATTAAAACTACATACTACTTTCTCTGACTGTAACACAACTCGTGCCCCTCTCTGAGAGCCCAGCCCCAGTGGGTTGGATTGGCCATCAGGCTCAAACAATCCTCACCAGAATCCAACGAAGCAACACCCCAGGGAAACAATTGTCCAAACACATTCCACATGGGAAAAACAAGTAGCAGAAATATGAATTGTTTTCTCTTTAATTTCTCTCTGTGCTGCTCTATGAAAAATCCTGAGAGGGAGAGAGAAATGTGCCTGCCACACTGCACAGTGTGTTGAGGGGAGGGAAGAAAATCAACAGGCGCTTAGCGAGTGTGTTGGGAAATTTCGGCTCTGGAAAAAGGGGCAGGAAAAATCAAATGTAGCAGCTCGGAGGGGACAAAAAAAAAGTGGAGATGCCGGGGATTGAACCCGGGGCCTCATACATGCAAAGCATGCGCTCTACCACTGAGCTACATCCCCGCGCTGGGCAGAGCGCTGCGCACAGCGGATACAGCGGCAGCAGCGGCCGCGGGCCGGGCCCGGCGGGGACAGTGCGGGGACAGCGCGGTCACCCCGTGTCCCCCGAGCCCCGCGGGGCGGGACCGCGGCAGCTCCGCCGGGCCGGACCCACCCTCATAGAACGGGGTAAAAAGGAACCTGGCGTGCCACTCCTCGTTAGTATAGTGGTGAGTATCCCCGCCTGTCACGCGGGAGACAGGGGTTCGATTCCCCGACGGGGAGGCATGGTTAATTTTGTCGCCAGGTGCCATTTTTTGGGCGGCCCCGCGCAGGTTTGTTTGTGACGCTGCCGTGGAACCGCGGCCGGAGGGGCGGGACGCAGCCGGCAGAGCCGCGTTTTGGGTCAGGGAACGGGAGCGGGCCCGCCGCGCACCCCGGGCTGCGTGCGGAACACCCGCCGCTGCCGGTAGCGGGGATGCTCGGGGTGGAAATGCCTGCGGGAAGGTGCGAACGAACTCCCGGGCACGCAGGAACCCGCGCGGAGGGCGGCACCGGCCGGGCAGCGGCGCCCGGGGGGGCGCGGGGCGGGGTCGTATCCACCGCCAGGGAAGCCATCCCTGTCCGCCGAAATAGCTCAGTTGGGAGAGCGTTAGACTGAAGATCTAAAGGTCCCTGGTTCGATCCCGGGTTTCGGCAGAAGGTTTTTGGGTTTGTTTTGTATTTTTTTTGCCCTTTGCCGTCAAGACGGTTCCTTCTGCCGCCGAGCGGAGGGGGCAGGGCTGATGTCCCCGCGCCGGGCGGATGAGGCGGTGCTCAGGCGCTCCCGCGTGTGGGACTTTTGTGTCAGGAGCCGCTTTATACATGGTTATGTATTCATAACCATGTCACTTCTCGAAGAGCGGCGACTGTGGAGTGCGTCCTGCGCCGCCGCCCGGGCGTGACCTGCCCCTCGGGGAGGCAGCGCTCCAACCGTCCTCGTTAGTATAGTGGTGAGTATCCCCGCCTGTCACGCGGGAGACCGGGGTTCGATTCCCCGACGGGGAGGTTGTCTATGTTTTTCTTTCCTTTAGTTTTTTTTTTTTTTTGCCTTCCGCACGGATTTCTCTGATTTCCGACGGAGCAAAACTATGCAGTTTTCCGTTCCTGCCTTTTTGAGGGCTACCTGGGGATCGCACCGGGCTCTGTACGCAGGAGCCCCCACAGCGCTCCGGGCCTGGCGGGGTCTCGGCGCGGCCCCCCGGCCCCTTTCCGCAGCGCGGAGGTGGCCGGCGGGCAGGGGCTGCAGTGCGGGCATGGGGATGTAGCTCAGCGGTAGAGCGCATGCTTTGCATGTATGAGGTCCCGGGTTCAATCCCCGGCATCTCCACGTGGGTGCAGCTCTTTTCTTGCCGCTTTTTGGTGATGTTTTATCTGGCAGAAGTCACTGCGTCCCGCCGAGCAGCAGCAAACTGCCCGCGCGGCCGGAATGGGCCCACAGTGGCACTTCCCAGCGGCATAAAGTGCTGTTTTTTGGGCTTTTTTTTCCCATTTTTTTTTCCCATTTGCTTCTCCTCAGACTTGTGCTCACCTTGTAACTAAAAGAAAAACCTTTACAGTATTACTCTCTTTCTGCTGAGGAAAGACCTAAACCTGGAAGGCTTCTCCAATTTTTGATGTTTACACACTCCCAAAGCACACAGTGTCAGGCACTGAGCAGCAACCAATAGACTTCTGTGGCATTTTTTTTCCATCGAAATGACCCGAGTGTTTGACATTATTATCAGTACAGATGTGGTGAGTGTCGATACAAACACTGTCACTATTGGACACAAAATGAGTACACAGAAGCTTGCTAAATTCAAAAGAGAAAAAGATCCAGTTTTATTCAAACATCTGGTATTTATAGAATTCCAAAAGTGACTGTGGATTGGAGGATGGAATTACCACCACATTACAACCACACTGGTCCCAAGATCCATCAATCATTTCTCTCCACCCACAGAGGAATATGTAAACTATTCTATTTCTACATAAAATTGTGTGGGAATTCTGACTCTCTAAGCATTATCAGAAGGCTGAAGAAGTTTTATGAGAACTTTAAAACTTTCAAAAGAACTATAAAAGAAAACTTAACTCTTTTAAGAATCAGGGCAGCAAAACACAAAGCAGTAGAGTGCAAAGAGCTCCCCAGAGCATTCCCCTCCATGTGTCAGGCACACACAAACCACAAAGCTGTTGCTGGACCTCTGCTCCTTTCCTGCTGGTGAGCGGCCCTGGGTGCTCTCGGTGTCCCTTCCATTTTCCACGGGAGCTGCCAAGTTGTTATAGATAAAATATTACACACAACAAAGTGAAGGATTCTGCAGGCGAACCGAACCGAACTGAACAGCAGTGCCTGAGCAGGATGGTGCAGGAGCCAGCAGAGGTCCATCAGGAGGTGCCCTTTGACAACAGAATAAGAAATAGGCATTATTATTTCTGATTTTACCCTGAGTTACAAACTCCATACTCCACTTTATGTGCACACACACTCATTGATTATCTCTCGGGCACACCATCTACAGGATTTGATCTCTTTATCTATCAGTCGTTCTTTGTCCCTCACATCCCCCATGAAAAATGCATTATTTTATGATTGGCTTTTCGCAAATGTTACAATGAATATTATATGTGTAATGGTAGAAAGTTATGCTGTATTAATTCTCTTACCTAGTGTGTTAAATATAGTTTCAGGTTCCAACATAATGTTAAAATAGAAACTCTGCTATGTGAAGGGTTTTTTTAAGGAATGAGATACTCGCTTCGAGGAATACCTAAATCTTCTAGAGAAGAGAAATTTACGGTTTTCTTATCAAAAAAAGCTAATTTCTTCAGACCTTGCTCAGACTCGAAAACACCATGGGGATTAAAGGAAACAGTTGACATACAACAGAAAGAGTTCTTGTTTTAAATGGAATGTATGCATAACCATGAAGGATATATGAATATACAACAGGCTATTGTTTTTAAGGTTATTCCTTTGTTCACAAGGTATACTTTTCATGACCTGGTGTCCGAGAACATCCAGACGTCCGTAATTCTTCACTTTTTATTGTCTTGCAATTGTCCTAACTCTAAATTGCATTACTCTAATTGTATTACTATTTTTACAACCATTTTATTATTATTAAACTTTTAAAAATTTTTTCACATCCCCTCTCCAGGTTCCTTGATCTCTCACGCAGAAACAACACCCGAGGCATCCTTCAGGATAAATCCACGAACTTTTTCCCTCAGGAGCCCCCTCAGGATGCAGGAACTCTTTTCCCTCAGGAGCCCCTTTAGGGTGCGGGAACTCTTTTCCCTCAGGAGCCCCCTCAGGATGCGGGAATTCTTTCCCTCAGGAACCCCTTTAGTGTGCGGGAACTCTTTCCCTCAGGAGCCCCCTCAGAGCCGACCCTCGCCTCCCCCTAGGGGTAGAAGCCAAGCATGTGTGTATCAAGCAGGGGCGCAACTGCAGGGTTTAAACCCTTGAACGTTAACTAAAGGCTCCCACAGAACCTTTTCCGTGCGGCTGCGTCTCCGAGATGGGGACACCGGGACGGCGCAGCCACGGCCCCGCTCCGGCGGCTCCAGGCCGGCTTTTCCCGCCGCCCCGCGCGCGCGGGAGCCTCAGCGCAGCCGCGCGAGGCGCCGATCCCTCCGCGCCGCTCTCAGCCGCGCAGGAGAGCGGCGGCGCGCGGCGCGAGGGAAATAGTGCGCAGCGGAGTGATCCCGCCGCGGGGGGCGGAGCGCCGGAAGCCATATAAAAACCGAGCTGAGGGGAGGATGCGTGGCGCAGTTGGCGCTGGGTGAGGTTTGTAGAGCTCGCTTGGCCGGGCGGCGCCGCGGTGAGAGGGCCTAGAGACGGGTTGGGCATCCGGGCGGGAGCGAGGGGTGTGTGCGCTGAGGCGCTGCGGCGGGGGGCGATGGCGGACAGGGATGGCGGGGGGAGGGCTGGGACGTTGCTTTGCCTTTAACGGCACCGCCGCGAGGCGGTGGCGGAGAAGGGCCGGGGCGGGCGGGCACTGGCAAAATGGCGGCCGCGCAGGCGCAGTGGTGCTTCAAGATGGAGGTGGGCGCGCGCCTCGGGCGGGAAGGGGAAGTGGGCGGGGCCTGCGCTGTGACGTCACGGACGGTGCGGGGAACAGGAGCGGTCACTAAAGCGCTAAGGCGGTTTTCCTCTTCAGGGAAAAATGCAGATCTTCGTCAAAACCCTGACTGGCAAGACCATCACCCTTGAGGTTGAGCCCAGTGACACCATCGAAAATGTCAAGGCCAAGATCCAGGACAAGGAAGGCATCCCTCCAGATCAGCAGAGGCTGATTTTCGCTGGCAAGCAGCTGGAAGATGGGCGTACCCTGTCTGACTACAACATCCAGAAGGAATCTACTCTGCATCTCGTGCTGCGCCTCAGAGGTGGGATGCAGATCTTTGTCAAGACCCTGACTGGCAAGACCATCACTCTGGAAGTCGAGCCCAGTGACACCATTGAGAACGTGAAGGCCAAGATCCAGGACAAGGAAGGCATCCCTCCGGACCAGCAGAGGCTGATTTTCGCTGGCAAGCAGCTGGAAGACGGCCGCACCCTGTCTGACTACAACATCCAGAAAGAATCTACTCTGCATCTCGTGCTGCGCCTCAGAGGTGGGATGCAGATCTTTGTCAAGACCCTGACTGGCAAGACCATCACCCTTGAGGTTGAGCCCAGTGACACCATTGAGAACGTGAAGGCCAAGATCCAAGACAAGGAAGGCATCCCTCCTGACCAGCAGAGGTTGATCTTTGCTGGCAAGCAGCTGGAAGATGGGCGTACCCTCTCTGACTACAACATCCAGAAGGAATCTACTCTGCACCTTGTCCTGCGTCTGCGGGGTGGTAACTAAACCAGCACGTTGCTGCTTCCAAATAAAAGGTTCCCTGCACTTGTTCATTCCAATAAAGCTCTTGCATCTGTAAAAGTTTGTGTCCCAAGTTGCATGAACAGCCATTCATGATATTGCCCAAATCCAGGTCTCTAATAAACAATAATTATGTAATTTTCTGCAGACAAAGGAGTTGCAAAGCTGCCTTATGCAAGGCTTGCATATTCCTGGTGATTGTAGCTAATCCCTCAGCTGTGGTTTTCCTGGCTTTGTGTAAGAGTTCTGATACCTGGCTGCAGCTCAGTGCCTGCCTGCAGGTGTTGTATAAGCAGGGATATGCAGCAGGAAGCTGTAGATCATCCCGAGTCAAAGGGCTTTGAGATAACTCTGGGTTGCCCACCAATTCCCTTTATTTTGGGATTAGTGGGGGAGCAGCAGAAGGGTGATCTGCAGCTGTTTCACAGGCTGGGGTAACTGGCTGTCACTGCTGGTCCTGCAGCCCTTGGGCTTGCAAGGTGGGGTGGGAAGTGTCAATCTCATCAGTTACGGGGTGGACTTGTTTTTCTGTCAGGCTTTGTGGCATTAAGCAAGCAGTAATTTCAGATGGACTTGCTGCACATCTGGATGTGCTTGGTTCCAGCTGTTCCCCAAACGGAAATGCTGCTGAGCTGAGCTGTCCCAGAGCAGTTCCTGTGTGCTGCAGAAGCCCTGGCAAAAGGGAAGTTGCCTCTGAAGTATTTGTGGAGCTTGCTGGAGGGGATGATGAGCAGTTAACCATGGCTGTGCCGGGTGTGTGGAGAGGGAAAAGGGAGAGGGACACAGAAATGCCCTTTGCAGGAGTGGTGGCATGGCCTCACCTGTGGAAGGGGATGGGTGGGAGCTGAGTAAGGGTCTCAGCTGGAGACTGGCCTCAGGGGGACCCAAAGGGAGCTTACACTGCCGGGTGGATAGCAGCATGTGGCTCCAGTGACCTCAGAGTAGGGCGAAAGGTTGAAGCACCAAGATCTGTGCTGTGCTGGAGAGAGCATTTGGATGCTAAGGAGCTAAATCCCGTGTGGGTGGGAGCTGGTGCTGTGCCATGCTGGACATCCTATCCTCCCCTCAGGAGTGCCTCAGGCTCTGCCCACGCTCCTGGCTCCCTGTTCCTGAGCTGAACCCCAACAACTGCAGTGAGCACCGGGCCACTGCGTGGGCTTGCTGTCCTCTGGGGAAATCAGAATTCACAACCTCAGCATCTCCTCTGCAGAGCTCCTTAAACAGTGCAGGAATGGCTGTCACTGGAATGCAGGGAGCATAACTGCATGTAGCTCTGGTGTGCAGGCATCCTCTGGGGAAATCAGAATTCACGACCTCAGCATCTCCTCTGCAGAGCTAAACAGAGGTGTCTGATCAGTGCAGGGCAGGCTGACACTGGAGTGCAGGGAACGTGCACTTGGCTCTGCTTTGAAGGCAGCCTGACATCCATCAGGGGACAGCTGCAGGAGGACACGGCGTGTTTGGTGAATGTCAAAAGCCTCCACGAACGGCTACAGAGCTGTGCTTTAAGAAATCCTTTTATTTCCAACATCTCAGTAAAAAACCTTTGCAGTGGCCTATTTAAAATCCACGATGCTGTACAAATCTGTAATAGCCTGGAGCAGGCAGAGCAGGAAGCCTGGAGGAGAAACACGTGCTGTGGTCTCATGAGCTGGGGCAGCCTCGCCTCTGCTGACCACAGAGGGAACGGCGTGAAGTTGCATCAGGAGGGTTAGAATTGGTGTTGGGCACAAGTTCTTCCCACTGAGGGTGGGCTGAGCAGGCGTCCTGGGGCTGGCCACAGCACCTGCCACACTTCAGCATGAGTTTGGACAACACTCTCAGGCACATGGAGGGATTTTGGAGCTGTTCTGTGCAGGTTTTTGACTTGGTCCTGGTGGGAACCTTCCAGCCCAGGACATTCCGCAGTTCTGTGACCCCCGCAGGTCGCTTTGCTGGGTTTGAGGAACCCCAAGGCTCATGTGGCAGTGGCAGCGCTTCAGAGGCGGCACCTGTGAGCAGAGACCACAGCTGGGGCGGGATCCACCACCCAACAGCCAAATTTTTTTGAGAACAGCAAAGCATGTAATAAACCTCAAGGCTGTGTTTTCTTCTAAGAAAGACAGAACATGCTGTTCCCAGAGATCTTCTCAGAGCTGCGTTATTCCACAGTGCCTCAGGGAATCTCCTGGATTTTATGTATTTTCACCACGTTCCTTTGTAAAAACAAAAAGTCTTAAAAGGTAAAAGAAAACAGAATGCCTATTTTGTGCTGTTCTGAAGGCATTGCTGCTGGGAGAGGGGGCCCGTCCTACGGTGGAGAACAGCCAGGATTGAATAAAGACATTGGTTTATTGATCAGTAAATCAAACAGAGGCAATTATCAGTGTAAAATGTTTAGGAAGGAAAAAAAAAAAGACCCAATTAAGTGTAAAGACACAAATGCAAATGTTCCACCGAGGTGGGGGCCATGGCAAGAGGCAGGTCCTGGTGGCAGCCATGAGATTGCCTCCTCTCATCGTGCAGGACAGCGTTGGCAGGTGGAAGCGCTCCAGTTTCCAGATGTGTTAGCTCATCTGGGACAATGGGATGTTGCACATGATTGATTTCAAACAGGCTGTCACAAATTTATTTCTGCTCTCTTCTAGATGCTTTTGGGGATGAATCTCAGCAAGGATTTTATTCAGGGCCATGTTCAGATGCACAAGATGGACAAAAGACCCAGTTGTTTGGAAAAGGAGAGCTGAGTAGACAAAAGACCCGGTTCCTTGGAAGAGCAGAGCTGGCTTAAATGGAAAAACAAAGGCAGGGTAATGGGTGATGGATGTTTACTCAGGGAAGACATACATATATATATATATACATACACACATAAATACAAACACGATTATGTGTTTTTTGTCTAGCATGTAGTGATAGAACAAGAAGGAATGGCTTCAAACTGAAAAAGATAGATTAGCTATTAGGAAAAAAAATCTTTACTGTGATGATGGTGAGGCACAGGGACATATTTCCCAGAGCAGCTGTGGCTGCCCCTGGATCTCTGCAAGTGTCCAAGTGTCCAAGTGTCCAAGGCCAGGCTGAACTGGGCTTGGAGCAACCCGGGACAGTGGGAGGTGTCCGCAGCAGAGGGTGGAACGAGACGATCTTTAAAGTCCCCTCCAACGCAAACTCATTCTACCCCACAACTGCACGACTGAGCGACATTTTACTTATATAATTACTTTCTTTCTCTCTCAATTTTACCGATTTTCCCGTTTTTCCGCGGGCCCCGCGCGCTCACCCTCACGCCGCCGGGCGCCGCTGACACGGACGCCCCGCCCCGGCCCCGCCCCCAGGCAGGCCCCGCCCCTCGGCCGTGCCGGGTCGGGCCGGGCCGGGCCGGGCCGCGCCGCGGGGCCATAAAGCGGCGGCGGCGGCGGCGGCGGGCCCCGGTGCCGGTCCGCTCCGCCATGGCCGTGGCCCAGCGCAGGCTGTCCGTGGGGCTGGGGCTGGCCGGGCTGGCCTGCGCGCTCCTGGGGGGCTGCCTGCTGCTCGTGGGGCCGCTCATCATCCGCCACCAGGTCATCAAGGTCAGCGCCGCGGGGCTGGGCGCGGGGCTGTGCCGTGAGGGGCGCGGGGCTCCGTGCGGGGCTGGGGCTGTGCCGTGAGGGGTGCGGGGCTGTGCCGTGAGGGGCGCGGGGCTCGGTGCGGGGCTGGGGCTGTGCCCTGAGGGGCGCGGGGCTCGGTGCGGGGCTGGGGCTGTGCCGTGAGGGGTGCGGGGCTATGCCGTGAGGGGTGCGGGGCTCGGTGCGGGGCTGGGGCTGTGCCCTGAGGGGCGCGGGGCTCGGTGCGGGGCTGGGGCTGTGCCCTGAGGGGCGCGGGGCTCGGTGCGGGGCTGGGGCTGTGCCGTGAGGGGTGCGGGGCTATGCCGTGAGGGGTGCGGGGCTCGGTGCGGGGCTGGGGCTGTGCCGTGAGGGGCGCGGGGCTGGGGCTGTGCCGTGAGGGGTGCGGGGCTCGGTGCTGGGGCGGTGCGGGGCTGGGGCTCGGATCGGTGCGGTGCTGGGGCTGTGCGGGGCTCGGTGCTGGGGCTGTGCGGTGCTGGGGCCCGGGGCTCGGTGCGGTACGGGGCTCGGTGCTGAGGCTGTGCGGTGCGGTACGGGGCTCGGTGCGGGGCTGGGGCTGTGCAGTGCGGAGCGCTGGAGGTGGCGGTGTCCCCGCTGCAGCCCCGAGCAGCCTCGGGCTCCAGGTGTGGGCAAATGCAGGTTTGGGGTGTTCCAACCTCGGTGACAGCAAACGAGCCCCGAGCGAGCAGGTTAAGCACCGCTGGTTAACAAGCGCTCTGTGCATCGCTGGGGATTTGGCTGGGGATGCAGAAGCGCTTGGCAGAGCATCACCCTAAGCACCGGCGCTTCCTCCTTTCCCTCCTGCCTCTTATTCCTTTTGCAAGTAAAGCTCGCAGGTGAGCTGCTTTCCCGGCTGGAAAGGGGATGATGTGCAGGAGCGCTCCATAGAAGCCTTGTGCGTGGAGCAGCCTCCAGGCTGTCCTCTCTCCTAGACTGAAAGCCTGAAGAGTTCCTTCTCTGAAGACCTCTTATCCACAGGAGAGGTCCTGAGGCTGAAGAGGGTTTGTGCCAAAATGTAGGGCTGTGAATAGAGTTGTTGGTCTGTTCAGTAAGTGCTGCAGTTTTATGAACCAGCACTCCTGTCCCTGCTGCTGGGACACGGGTTATCATCCTGCTGTAATGTGGAGCTCATCCCCACATTTAGCCAAACCTTTTTCTCCCTGTCCAAGGCAGATGTGCTCCCTGCCTTGGCCTTTCTCCAAGCTTCCACCTACCTAGGTCAGCCCCCGAAAATTTCCTTCTAATGAAAGAGATGAACAAATGCCTCATAGCCAATGGCTGGTGTTGTGTGTGGCACAAAGTCTCTGCCGAAAATGACCTACTTAAATGTACCCCTTGGAAGTGCTGGGCAGAGCCAGACAGTCCTGTGGATTGAAGAGTAGAAATTATTTGTTCAGTTTCACGACATCAGGAACCTGCAAATACAAGGCTGAATGGCCCCCGCAGAGCAGAAATGACATTTTTTGTGCAAAAAGCTTTCTGCCCTCTTTTAAGCTAATACTAATTTTTTTTCAAGCTAATTAGCTAAGTCCTAGTAATTTGCAATGAGAACAGAAGATGAAGAAGAAAAGATCAACCCTTGTTTCTCCTCCCTTCACCTCAAGATGGTCTTCTCATCTTCAACATGACACAAAAATACCCTGAGCTCATTTTTTTTCTGTTTCAGATTAAGCCTAATAACTGAGTGATGACGGGTGATGAGAAACATTCAGGCCTTTACTGAAACTCCTGGGTTGGTCTTCAGAGTAGTGTGGGTAAGAGGAGCTTGAAGGGCCGGGCTTGGGCAGGTAAAGGTTTCCTGAGCTCTGTCAGGATGGTGCACCCTGATGGAAAAGCAGGAGTTAGTTATGGAGAGGTGGTTGTTTCAAGGATATCTTTGGGGTGAAGTGTGCAGGGAAAGCAGGGAGCTTGGAGCCTGCCCCATCTGCACTGGGCTGCCTGTGGGGTTGGCCCTGCAAAACCTGGGGAATATTGCTTTTCTGGAAGCATCTGGAATGCCACAGACCTGCCAGACTGCTTGCACACAGTGAGGCTGCATCAGCTCATCCCTCTGCCACCCCTGGCTGGTCCCCTTGGGAGCCCGGTGTGTCCTGGGTGCCAGGGGCAGCAGGGTCCTGGGTGAGGAGGAGGAGGGTGCTGAGGGGATGTGAAGGGTGAGGTCTTAACTGTGATAGACTTAACTGTTCCTCCCAGCCCGCAGGGGAAACCTCAGCTCACTGTTTTCCTGAGCAGCGTGCCTCCCTCCCTCCCGGCCAGGGAGGATTTGGATGCTGTGGTGGAGCTGCTGCTCTTCTGGCCCCATCTGGAGCTGATGGGCAGTAACCAGTTCCTTTCAGTTCCTTGGGAACAAAGATCAGCCGGGTCAGGAGGAGTCAAACATCTCAGTGACCCTTTGCAACCCGTCTGGCTGACAAATACTCTGTTTTTATTCCAGATATATGACCATGTCTGTTTTGACCTAAAAATCGCTTAATTTTAAGGCTACCCCATTGTGGGGATCTTAGCAGCACCTGTGGAGTACCTTGAGCTGCTGTGCCCAGGTGGGGAGGGAGCTGGGAAGTGCAGCAGGGAGCTGGGATGTAGCTCCATCTGACTTACTATAAAAATAAATGCTTATTTATAAAAATAAATTATAAAAATAAATGCATATGCAACAAGTGGTCAAAGGAGCGCAAGACAGAACAGGCAATTAAAGGAAAGGAGATGTTCTTGATCATAATCCATTCGATGCTTGGGGAATCAGGATTGTAAAGCAGATTAAATAAAAATCTCTCCTATTTCTGCTTCTTTGCCATGAAATCCTTGTGGCTGGCAAAATTAGAGGAGTATGGGTGGTGGGAAGGGTTACATGGGTTACACAACATTGTGGAGATGCCTTCCCCGGGATGGGGCTTGGATGAGGGGCTCGCAGAGGCCTCCCACTCACAGGTAGCTCAGCTTTGCCACAAAATGACTCAAGAAAGAGGAGATGTTATGGGAAAACCTCTGGTATCTCAACTCCCAGTGTCAGCAAATATGTGTCCAGTGAGATGGAGCTGTTCCAGCATAAAGCCCACATCCCTCCTCCTGTTCATGCATCAACCCCACTGCCATAAGCTGGCTGGGTTACCTAAGCAGGGATAAGAATCTGCGTGCTTTCAGAAGAAAAGATTATGGTGGAACACATCCAGAGGGATTGTTCAAGAAGGAACAAGCTCTTGCCCTTTTACAGCACCCTGGGGGCAGGGAGGGTATGGCAGTAGATGTGTCCCTGTGTCAGGTCTGAGCTGAGGAGAGCTTCAGTTGTCTTTGAGCTCCTGCAGGCATTTCCTAGCACACAGGACAGTGAGATGGGGGCAGACTGTGCCTTGCCTTTGACCTGCCTCATGATCAGCTGTGGGTCAGTGCAGGCTGGCAGCTGAGAGGAGGCAGAGGTGTCCTGTGCTGTGCTGGTGGGACACAGCTGCCTTGCCATCCTAGTTCTCCATCTTCTTTTTGGGATTCTAGTGGGCTCTCCCTGCTGGTAGCCAAACACTTGTGAGGGTAGCTGTGCCACTTCTTGCTTGCTTTTAGCTCTGTGGAGCTGCCAAACCCATGAGCAAAGGCCTTTGGGACAGACAAGTGAAATGTGCAGAGTAGTGAATTCAGAGCGGAGTCTGCAGCATATCAAAACGCTCAGAAACTTTGTGGGTAGGATTAGAAAAGTTAAGTCTGAAGAAATGAGCCAGCAAACATCTTGTGGCATAAACCTGATGCTTCTGCACACACAGGATTTCTCTCTGTATATCCAGCTGGGTTTCAGTCTGCCAAACACACCTGGATCCTCTGGAGAGCTTCTCTTATAAATGCCACCTTCATCTGTGCCTTACAGTGAGCTGAGGGTGGACGTGTTCACCTACAGCCACAGAGCCCAAATGTTATGACCCCATATTTTTTTGCCTTCCAGAATGTCAGGATCGACCCCAGCAGCATCTCCTTCCAAATGTGGAAAGACATCCCTGTTCCTTTCTACTTGATGGTGTATTTCTTCGAAGTGCTGAACCCCAAGCAGGTCCTGCGGGGAGAGAAGCCGGTGCTGAGCCAGCGTGGGCCCTACGTGTACAGGTCAGGTACCACTGGTGGCCAGCCTGGCGTGAGCCTGAGCACGCTGCTGGCTGCCAGGCTGCTGCTGGCTCCTCTGGCAGGAGGACATGGCATTAGCAGGCTCGGTGAGACCCCAGGGACACTGCATTTGAAAGTGACCCAGATGTGCTCTGATCGCTCTGATCTTGCTAAAGACACGTGTAGGAGCTGAGACAGGAAGATCAGTGGGTGCTTCGCTGAGTTGTAGAGCTCAGTCTTTTTCTGGGGCCTGTTGGACAGGCAGACCTGGGCTGATATGGTCCAAACATGGATATGAGGGGTGCTGGTGTGGTGGTGGGTGACCCTGTCTTTAGAGTGCTCTTCTTTTATCTTTTCTGTGCATTTAAGAGCCCAGCTCTTGAGCTGGAGTCGCCTCAGTATCGAATTTCGTGGGTCAGCCTAAGTCCTTACCTGACGTGAGACCCAGAACATGCCCAACGTGAGTGCTCTGGTCATGGGAACCGTATGGAGAACAAGTATGGAACACCAGTACTGGGTCAGACCCACACACAGCAGTGCTGGGTCTGTTTGCCATGGCTGAGGATGGTGCTGAAGCCCCAGGGGCTTTCTCAGCACCTGAAGGGGGATGCAGTGCTTGATGCTGAGTCGAGCATGTGAGCCTCCCCATGAGCAGTGATCTTCAATATGTCAGTACCTACAGGAGTGGGGTGAGGCTGAACAGCAGCCTAAGCAAGCTCGTGTAGGAAGATTACTGGTTAGTCCAAAGCTGTTTGAGCAGTGTGAGTGGACACCTGCACTATGTATGTGCCCTCGTTTGCCCTGGCCTTGCCAGGGTGGGTTCTGTATGTTGCCATAGCATCGCTCTCCTGGCCTGGGGAAAAGCTTCACTTGCTGTAAGTAAGAATAAACAAAGGGGCAAAGCTTATTAGTGTCCTTGTGTTTCTGCTGAGCAAGATTAGTGCCCTTCCCTAATGTGGGCTGTAAAACAGAGGCTCCACAGTGAAGGACTTTGTTTTTGCTGGTGAGCTGAGCTTCAGTTCCTCCAGGAGCAGTAACAGGCTTGTGATGCTGGGGACAACCTCGCAGTGCTGCAGAGCACTGCAGCCTCCATGGGCCTGGGGCTGCCCCTGTGGCACGGGCTGAAGTCCAGCAGCACTGGGCTGATGCCTGGAGAGGCTCTCTAGAACAGAAGCTGGACAGAGTTAAATTAATCAAGTAGGGATTTATTCAAAGGCCTTCAAAGGATGCACCTAGGGCAGCACCAGAGCCCAGCTGTGGCTCCACCCAGGATGGATGGCATGTCACGAGTTTTTACACTTTTATAAGTTTTGGTCCATTTCCATATTGGGGTTCATTGTCCAATTCCAGCTCCAGGTTGTGCAGTCCCACCCTCCCAGTTTGCTCTCCTCAGTTCCCTGTTGTTTTACACTTTTGGGCTGAAGCTGCAGTGGTGTCCTTGGTTCTGGGCTGGAGAAGGATTGTTGTGTGTGCCTGAGCTGGAAAAGGATTGTTCTGTGTGCCTGAGCTGTGAGGAGACCTTGCTGACACTTTATATGGAGTTCAGAGCCACACACCAATGCAGTGCAGAATCTGGAAAAGATGAAAGCTAAAAGTCATCAGGCAGTGTGCAGGACGTGGATGGCCTGAAGCCCTGAGGAGCAGAAGGGCCACGATGCTGTGTGGAAGTCAGGCTGCCCTGAACCCAGGAGCCACCAGGGAGGTTAGGAGCAAATCCCTAGTGGAACATAGGGCATCTTGGCTGGTCCTCTCTTGTGTTCAGATGATTTTGGTGTGTGGGCTCTGCATGTCTGGGCACCTCTCTGGTGTGCCTGGGCTTAACAGTGGCTGTGGGTGAAGCAACAGAGAAGATTTACTCTTTTGGCTTAATTTTTTTGGGTAATGAGTTGGGAAGAAACACTTAGTTACTACAAGAATCCAACATGTCAGGAATGCCTGGCTCCTGGGCTGCCCTCTGCTCCTGCCAGGCCCTAACCCTGGCTGGGGTGGAAGGTTTCCATCTGTTCCCACACTGCCTCCCCAGCTGCCCCGAGGCTTCTTGCTGGGCTTTGATCTCTCCCAGCAGCAAGCCCAGGCCTGTGCAGCCCATTCTGGCTCAAGGGGCTCTGCCTAGGGATGGTTCCCATGCTCTCCCATCTCTTTGCAGGGAGTACAGGTTTAAAACTAACATCACCTTCTATGACAACGATACCGTTTCCTACCTGGAGTACCGGCACCTTTTCTTCCAGCCAGATTTGTCCAACGGCACGGAGGACGAGTACATTGTTGTGCCAAACATCATGATGATGGTAAGTGCTTCTTGCCTGCAAGGGTTTCACCTTCTGTGCTTGCAGGGAGGGTGGTGATACCCAGCACTGAACCACTGAATTACTGAATGGTTTTCTTGTAGGGCTTAAGGCTGATCAAGCATTGAGGTGGTTAAGCTTATATAATGCAATTTTCTGCTTTGCGGGTGTTAAGTTGTTCTGGTAGGCTGCTACAGTTCCACAACCAGAGTGTGCAGGGCAGCTGGTCTTGAGTCCACAAGCTCATCTGAGCATCCTGTGGGGAAACCAAGCCTCTGAGCCCTCAACTGCCTCCTTCCCCAACTGGGAATCAATGAGGAACCTCAGTCTGCCTAGAGGATTCCTCTGGGACTATAGATGGGAGCAGCAGAATGATTTTGGCTAGCACCAAAAATGCCTTGTCTTCACTAAAGGTGGGCCTCTCATCCCAGAGGTTTGTTTCCTTTCTCAGGGAGCAGCTGTGATGATGGAAAACAAGCCAGGTTTCATGAAGTTTTTACTGAGTGGAGCCCTGGCCAGCCTGAAGCAGGAGGCGTTCATGAACCGGACGGTGGGGGAGCTCATGTGGGGGTACGATGACCCCCTCGTAGATGCCATCAACTTGATTTTTCCTGGCATGCTCCCTTTCAAGGGGAAGTTTGGATTATTCATGGATGTAAGTGTTGGTTTGGAGCGCTAAAATCACAGCAATATTGATCTTGGGGACAGCTCAGACACTCAGCTAAGCAGCAGCTGAGCAGCTGATTGTGTGTGAGGCACCCCTAGAGCTGATGGGGCACCCAGAGTCGGGGATGTGTTGCTGCCTTGCTGCGTGCAGTAGATTAAACAATCCTTCCTTCTCTCTGCAGTTTAACAACTCCAACTCAGGGCTGTTCACAGTGAACACAGGCATGAAGAACATCAGTCAGGTCCACATGGTGGATTCGTGGAATGGGCTGAAGATGGTGAGTGTCTGGCAGCAAACCCTGAATCATGGGGAGTGCTTGATTTAAAGCAGGGTAAGCTGAAAGCTCTGGGTGCTGTTGTGTATGTGTCAGGTGTGAAGAAAAGTTTCTACAGGACTTCAAGTGCTGCAACTTTTGTTCTAGCAGCCATGTGGCAAGGGGCTTTTCAGGAAGCATTAAATTCATCTGTTCATGGGTTTTTCACTTGCACTCCCTTGCAGTGCTGTTGGAGCTGGTTGCTGGTAATGGTTGAAGTCTCAGGCTCCTGTGGCCTGTGTTGAAGGTGTTAAATGCTCTTGTTAAAGGATGCTTTACTCTTCCCTTGTAGAATTCTGCTCCAAACTAAAATCAGCTGAAGGTAGAGCTCAGCTTCTGGGGGCAGGTGGATCTTGTCCATTAAGTGGATGTTTGGCTCACAGAGTCATGGAGGATGGAAAATATGCTTAAGATGGGAAAGATCTTTGCTGCTACTATGGAAGCAGCGTGGGGTGGTCGACATTGCATGCAGGGGTGAGAGCTGACTCCAGCCAGCTCGTCCTTCTGAGTTCTTCTCTCCACACCTGCCCCACAGGTGAACTACTGGCGGAGCAACCAGTGCAACATGATCAACGGGACAGCGGGGGAGATGTGGCCACCCTTCCTGTCCCCAACCTTCCTGGACTTCTACAGCCCTGATGCCTGCAGGTGAGGCCACAGCTGCCAGCCTGTCCCCATGCAGGTGGCAGGACACGCTGCACCCATCCTGCACACGCAGAGGGCTCAGGAATTGTTCCTGTAGTTAAAGTTCAGCTGCAGTTTGGGTTTGCATTACCTCTGAACTTTGCAAACAGTGTAGTGGTCTCATTATCAGCATCTTGTGGTGTCCATAAATACCTTGCAGGTCACTGGAGATGTCCAGTTTGCCCACATTTAATCAGTACAAAATAACCAGATGTGGTTGTCAAACGTAGAAAAGATGTGGGCAGTTGGAAGGGGAGAAGTAAGGGTTGTCAGAGGGAAATGCAACTGTAACTGCAGAACTCTTTCAGCTGACTAAACTCTTGGAGAAATTATGTCTGGGAGGAAACTCATGCCACCATTTTCTAGGCTCTTTCTTCTTTTTTTTCCCCTTTTTTTTTTTTCTTTTTTTTTTTTTTCCTGCCTGTGTAAAACACCCTGACCTTAGCTGATCATCACACAGGGGTTAAAGTACCCCACTGTGCCTGAGGCTGGAAGGAGGGGAAGTAGGCACAAAACCCCTGTCCCTAGCTTGGGGAAGATAATGATAACTCCAACTTTGTAGATAGTACTGCAAAACAAGCAAGTGCTCGTGTTGAATAGAGAACAGTGACCAGTGAGCAAACAGCTGAGCTGAGCAATAGCACAGGGGACATCATCAAACACCAGAATGACCTGGAGCCAGGAATTTACAGGGAAATTTGCTTGTAACTGAAGTTTAAACACATACCTGGCCCTGTCAAACTACAGGAACCTCTGGAACAGAGCATGCTTCCAGGCAAGGCTTCCAGTGAAGTGGAGGAAACCCAGCTTGGTTTGTTGTTGGCACAGGAGGTTCCTGCCACACAGAACTGTGGGGAAGTGGCTTAGCTTCTCAGACAGTGCTGCCTGCTCCCCAAAGCTCTGCCTCAGCCTCTGCTCACACAGTCACAAACATCAGTTGGTAGGCAGGACCCATTCTCTGCTTGGTGCACATGAAGTGCAGCTGGTGCTGACAGGCAGCTCTCAAGGTTTTGTCCTGTTGATGGGCTACAGCAAGCTCTGCCTCCTGGCTGGGAGGTGAGCAGAGTCAGGAGGCCCACGTGTAACTGCTGGACATGCCCTGAATCCCCCATCCTTGCTCCCAGCATCAGAAAGGACCATTCCTCTGTAGGAATGAGCATCCCCTTGGCCTGCCCAGGCTGTCCTGGCAGCCCACAGTGACCCACTCACCCATTCTGTGATTCTCTGATCTCTGCAAGCCTCACTCAAGTGTGAAGGGAGCAAATTTTTGTCCTAGAGACTGGCATCAAACCTGACCAGCAATATGGCAGCACAATATCAACAGCCTCTAGTAGCAAGAAAAAAATCTTGCTGTCATCAGGTAGGGAAATTTTCCATTCCCCTGGCAGTGTATTGCTGGAGCTGGCCTTCAAAAGAGATTTATCCAGTGCTGTAATGGAACACCTCGGAGACAAACTTCTATAAAGTGTGTATTATCTCTTGGAGAGCAGCCCTGGGGATTACTGCATGCCTTTAAACAAATCTCACCTGGATGTAGCAAGAAGACTTAAAAGCCTGTGGTTTCTCTCAACTAATCCTGACCAACCCTTTAGATGTGCTTAAAACATGGAAAACAAAAGGCTCAAATACTCATTCCCCGTTCCCTGAAACACTGCTGAGGGTTTATCTTGATCTCAAAGTCTAAGTTACGTTGCAACTGCATCTTATCCAGCCAAGATAAGGACCCACTTCTGTGCTGAGAACCTGTTGGCTAATCCTGATCCTTCTCCACTGAAACCCTTCCAGATCCCTGAGGCTGGTGTACGAGCAGTCGGGGGAGTTCAAGGGTGTGCCCACCTATCGCTTCGTGGCGCCCAAAACCCTCTTTGCCAACGGCACAGACTACCCACCCAACGAGGGCTTCTGCCCCTGCATGCAGTCCGGCATCCTGAACGTCAGCACCTGTAGGCTCAGTAAGTCCTTTCCTCCCTGGCTCTCCTTGGTGGACCAGTATTCAATTTGAGATGCTACAGAAGCTTGTCTGTGTGGAAAAACAGCTCTAGTGCCTGCTGGGATGGTGAAAAGTGCTGCTTGCACTCCCACAGGCCTCTCAGCAACGAGGGAAAACCCTTGTGCCTAACCTTCAGTGCCCTAGGAGAGCCTGGCATTTGTGGGAATGCCCAAGGATGCAGTGTGGGAGCATTACATCCCCTGGGCTGCTGAGGGGGAGCAGGGAGGAGGCAGCCCACGCAGCTCCCAGATTAAATGTTAACTTTGGACACTGCAGCATCATCGTGTGCTGCGGGGAGAGCGCAGGTGGTCCTGCATCCTCCCAGATCAATGGAGCAACCTGCAGGGAGGGAGGGGAAGGAGATTGCTGGCTGGGAGGAGAAAATATAAAAGCTTCTTCAGAACAAGTACTGTTTTTTAAGCAGGAGCTTAAAAAACTCAAAAAAAAGCTCTTAAGTGGTGTGTGGAGCAGCTTAAAGATGCCTTAATCTCCTCCAGATGCGCCGATGTTCATTTCCCACCCTCACTTCTACAACGCCGACCCATCCCTGGTGAATGCAGTGGAAGGCCTGCGCCCCAACAAGGACCAGCACGGGCTTTTCCTCGATCTGCACCCTGTGAGTGAGCCCACCAGGGTCCTCCCCTCACCCCGGGACCAGCCCAGCACGGGGGGGACCCTGCCAGCAGCTGAGTGGTGGCAGCACTCTGTTCTCATGGCACTGATCCGAGCAGGTTCCATAGTGCGAGGACGTGTGCAGATAAAAATGTCAAAGCCATAAACTAATTAAATAATTAGCCTGGCTTCTAGAAAATTGCAGAACTAATTATAAACATAATTGTTTCGATAAGCACAGCGAAACTCTTTCCACTGACTCAGGCCTATAGACCAGGAGGTGTATCTGGCAGCAGCCCAGCTGTGCCCCAAATCTGCAAATGCACATTGCCATGAGAGCTGGCAGGCAAAGTCTGAAGACCACGCTGTGGCTCAAGCTGGCACCTCCGTTTTTTGGGCTGGCTTCTTCCACTCTCTCAGCCTGCCCATCTGGAACTGACTGCTTTTGGACTGGGTGCTGTGTTACACCCCTCATGTACCCACAGAGTGAGGGTGAAGTCACCACTCCAGAGGGGTGATTTGGGGTGTCCTGAGGTATCACTGTCCCAGCTGCTGATGGCAAAGGGACTTCGGGATTTTCCACCCACAGCTTGTGTTGTGTGAGGTCAAATATTCTGTGATATTTGCTCCAGCAAAAAAAACCTGTTTATTTCCCTCTTAGACATAGAGTTTACTCTCTGTGTCTTACCTAGCAATTGGGTTCTGACTGCTTTTCTTATCACAGTTATGAAAATCTAATTAAGTTTATTACAGTATCAAACATCTACTGATAACAGTACAGTTACCTGCATTTTTATCTAGCTGCAGGCTGCTGACTGCAAACAGGGACAGCCCAACAAAAATTCTCTGCTTGTAAAAATGTGTTGCAAAACTGCAGAGTCATGGGAAATCAATGTCTTAATAAGTGTCAACAAGACCAGCTTTGAAGTGTGATGTTTTTCTTGGTCTTGGAATGTTGGATAGGGTCTGTTGGTCCCAAGAAGTCACTAGGAAGTTACTGATGAAGGTTGTTCTCTTCTTCTGCAGATGACAGGCATCCCTATGAACTGCTCCATCAAGCTGCAGCTGAACCTGTACATAAAGCGCGTGTCTGGTATCACGTAAGTGCTCACCTCCTAGAAATGTCCCCCTGCCTTCCCTGAGCAGGGAGCTCTGCTGATGCTGAGCTTGCTGCAGGGTTTACTCTCTCCAAAGCTTTACCATGAGCAGTTGTGCTATTGCTGGAGCCAGACAGCTCCTGTTGAAACATCAGCCATTCCAGTGGCCACAAGTTCCATCTTTCAGCAGTGCAGAGAGTGGCTGCCTGTTTGCTCAGCTCGGGCAGTGTCCCTGTCCCTCACCAGACAGCTGAGGCAGGGAATGTTCCTCCTGGTGGGGCAGGAGCTGTTCACCTACACTGTGCTGCCTCTCGGGAGTCACCTGCAACACGGAGAGGCAAAACCCACTCTGCCTGTGTCCAGAAGACACTTACAGCTCTGTGAAAGCAAACAGGAGGTCTCTGTAACCAAACTGTGTGGTGCCAGATGTTAAATGCCAGCAAGGATGGGAGTGTGCTCTTGCTGCTTGGGCTGAGAGGCAAACACCTGCAGACAGCCTCCAGGTGACTGAGACATGAACTTTGGCATTCTGGCTCACTCAGCTTCATCTCCCTGGAGCCCAGGTTTGGGATGGCTCTTACTGCTGTCCTTGGGCAGCTAAATCCCTGTGGAAGCACAAGCTCTGCCTGTGCTATGGGAGCAGCTCACTGGAGCAGCCGGGATTGCCACCTCCTTATGCTGGTTTCCTGGCCACTGTCAGTCTGTCAGTCGTGTCCCCTTAGGAAGAATTGTGGTGCTCATTGTGACCTGATCAGCCATAAACCTAAGCTGCTTTTTTAATCTTCTTCCCCCCAGTCAAACAGGGAAGATTAAGCCAGTGGTCCTGCCGCTGCTGTGGTTTGCAGAGGTGAGCTGCCTTCCTCAGCCTGATTCTGCAGAGCCTCTCCTGCTTCCCCATCACCCAGTGCTGGGGAAACTCCACTTTGGATAAAGCTTTAAGCCAGCCAGACTAATTAGGCACCAACAGAAGGCTTTTCAATACTTGGCTATGCCATTAATCCCTCTGAGCTGAACAAACCCTGCACTATACATGGTAAATCTCTGGCTCTGGCCTAGATGTGGGGTTAAATAGGGCCCTGGATGGAGCTGCCAGCATCCCTGTCCTTCTGTGGGCCAGGGATTGCAGCCTCCAGCTGTGGGTGCGTGGCCAGCTGACTCCTGCTGTTTAGTAAAAGCTCTTAACCTGACTGAATCTTGCATAAATTCCCTAATTTATGCTGGGAGGTGGTGGGAGAGGAATCATGCAGCTGGTCTGTCTCAGCCCTGGAGGGGAGGGAAGTGCCACTGACACACTCTGCTTTTTTGAGCAGAGTGGATCCATCGAGGGCTCGGTCCTAAAGCAGTTTTACACCAACCTGGTGCTGCTCCCGTCGGTGCTGGAGTACCTGCAGTACACCCTCCTTGGCCTGAGTGCCCCTCTCATTATCTCAGCAGCTGTGCTCATGGCAATGAGGAAGGTAAGAATCTGCAGGTGCCTGGTGGGAAGTGCTGCCAGTCAAATCAGACTCAATCAGACGCTGTAGTTTGGGCTGACAATCTTAACCTGTCTGAGGAAACATTGGCTGACGCCACCAGCAATCTCCTGGTGGTGCCAGGTGCCAGCAGAGAGCAGCAGGACTTCCTTAGCCATCTAGCAAATAGATAGCATGAAGCATTTCTGGCGTTTTTGGTGGACAGCAGTGATGGAAGTGGTTTCCTGGAGGAGGAGGTATTTCTCAGCTCACCCAGCTAGTGAAGAAATAATCCTGGTTTATCAACCCAGCCTCCAGAGAAGGCAGCAGCAGGTCTGTGCTGTTGCACAGATCTGCATCTCTGCAGGGTCCCAGCGTTTCTCCAGTCAGAACAGAGTCTTCTCCAGGGAATGGAGCTAGCTGAGCACAGCATGTTAAGTGAAATGCAGTTGGTGTGTTCTTGCAGAGGGGACACAGCCACTGTGGCTGCTTCTCAGCCCAGCACAGACCCTGTATTTCCTTGAAACGCCCTTGCTGTGCAAACTGCTCCAAAGAGCTCTGGAAATGAAAGCCTCAGAGCCTTTGTGCATCTGGGCTTACTGAGAAGTGAAGACCTTTGAGTCCTGCTGGGAGCTGGCAGCTGGGCTGTGGGGCAGGCAGTGGGGTGAGGCTGAGCTGAGCTCTCAGGACTGAGTATAAAACAGCCAAAACACTCAGTGCAGATCTGTGGCTCTGGCTCCACAGTGATCTGGTAACACTGCCCTTCCTGGAACACCGATGCAAACCCACCTGAAATAGTGCCAGAGTTCTCAGAGTATCACATAATTGGATTTTAGTCAAGTCTACAATTACTAAAGTGACTTAAGCACATGATCCCAAATCCCTTTGTTCCTCCACACACTGCCCTGCAGGGTGGGAGTGGTGCTAGGGTCCAGCATGGAGCCCAGAGCTCACCACCAAACCTTTCCTGTGCTCCCAGGGATGTGCTGGGCTGAACTGCTCCCCTTCAGCACATGTGAGTGGTTGCTGGCAGACAGGCTGCACTCTGCTGCATGACCCAGGGGCTTGGAAAAAGAGCTGAGCAACTGTTTCTGACACCTTATACAGCCCTGAGCTGGCATGTCCTCACCCTGCTTTGTGCAAATCTTAATTCCTGGTATCAAAGAGATTTAACCATACTAGGAAGGGTCAGGGAGAAAAGCTGGATTTTTACTCATTGAAGCCAACTGAATATCTGCTTGTGAAATATCCCAAGCTCAGGCATAAGCCAGCTGTATTTCTGTGCTCAGGCAAAAGAGTCATGAAGTGTTAGAACTAAAAATCCACGGCAGGAAGTGCCTGACTACCTGGAAAGTGACTAAAAAGCCTCAATGACTTGACAAATCTCTAAGAAGGCAGCAGAACACACGAAGGTCTCCACCTAATGAGTAGATAAGAGGTTGTAAACTGGAAGACAGTGATTTGTGTTCCTCATTTGATTGAAGTGTTGCTGATCTAGCTCTGATTGCTTAATCATGCACAGTTCTGCCTCCCGAAGTCCCAGGCCATGTCAGAGGGGACACTGAGCGGGGACATTGTCCACACCTTCACGTGTCTGCCAGCGTGAAGGGCTCCCTGAACCCAGCTCCTCCCTCTGGTGTCTTGTGTGCCTCTGGCTTCTGGAGGGAGCAGTGTGCTCTGAGGCCAGTGCAGATGAGGTACTGTGAAACACTTAAATCTTAGTCTAGTTCATAGTGGAGCCAGTTTGAAATGCATCTGTTGGACTCGCAGCTCTGAAAAAAAAGCATAATCTGTACAGGTGTAAAATACCCCCAGATTTTGTACCTTTGTGGCATGAAGCCTGTGTGGTGATACATTCAAAAGGCAAACAGACCATTTTAAAACTGGCTTGACACTGAAAAAAAAATCTTAACTAGGACTTAGTTTAATCTAAATTTCTAAATCCTCGTTAATAACTCGATTCTAGTTAAACAGTGATTCCTCAAATCTCCTCCGAAAATTGGAACCCTCGTGAAATTCATGTCCGAGTGCACCATAAACCAGACTGATTGTCTTCTAGGAAAAGTGCTCTTTATTTTGGAGTAGCAATAAAAAGAGCTCAGACAGTAATAAGACAAACCAGGCCACCTCTGCCAAAAAGCTGCCTCCGGTTAAGGGGACGGTGTTGCGGGAAGCCAGACTGTAGGTGGGTACCCGCGCAAGGTAACTCGCTTTTCTCTCCTCCTCCTTTGATTCTACTTCACTGAAAACCAATCAAATGAAACGTTTCCACATCTCCCAGCTCCTGGTGAGCTTGATGGAGCACTGTTGTCTCATGGTTTTATCTGGGGCAGTCCAGATGTCTTAATGCTGGCACTAAACCAGGTTGCAAGCACGTGTTCTTATTGTTTCTGCCGGTGTACCTGATCTGCAGCCCTAATAATGTCAGCAGGGATCAGGGGGAAAGTAGGATTGGTGTGAGGAAATACTCTGCTTGCCTGTTTTCCCCCCATCTCGGAGTGTTTGAGTTCCAGAGGCAAGTTTTTTGAATGGGTAGAAACTTGTGGGGTGACAGAGGTCAGTCCACTGGTGGGTGTCACCCCTCCCCTCAACAGAGAGGCTTTCAGGAGGGGATTGCTGATGTATAAAATGTCTGGGTTTTTATTACAGGAACACAAAATCACTGAGTCGTTGAGGTTGAAGGGACCTCTGGAGGTCATCCCCAATCCCTCTGCTCAGGCAGAGTCACCTAGCTCAGCACCATGTCCAGATGTCTCTTAATGTCTTCAGGAATGGAGATTCCCCAGGGCAACCTGTTGCCATTTTTACAGTTTTCACAGGGAAAAAAAAAAAAAAAAAAAAAAAAAGAAAAAAATATTTCTTAATGTTTAGATGGAATCCCCTTTAAGTGTTTAGGTGTCCCTTTGCTCTTATCCTGTCCCGGGACACCACCAAGAAGAGCCTGGCTCTGTAGTTACACCCTCCCTTCAGAAACTCCTTTCAGTGCTAAGATCCCCCTGAGCCTTCTCTTCTCGAGGCTGAACAGGCCCAGTTCTCTCAGCCTCTGCTCACATAAGAGTCTCCAGTCCCAAAATCACTTCAGTGGTCCTTTGCTGGACTCTTCCCAGTAGCTGCATCTCTCTTTTGTTCTGGGAAGCCCAGAACTGAACACAGTACTCCGTGTGTGGCCTCACCAGTGATGAGCAAAGGGCAAGGATCACTCCAGGACCTGCTGGCAACACTCCCCGTGCAGCCCAGGAACCAGCTGGCTGCCTTTGCTGTCCCCAGGACCCCTCAGGTCCTTGTCTGCCAAGCTGCTGCAGAGCTGGGTGACCTTTAGAGCGTGCTGGTGTGTGGTGGTTGTTGATCCCAAATGAAAGACCTTGTACATCTTCTTGTTGAACCTCATGAGGGCCCTTCCAGTCCCTTCTTCAGCCTGCTGAGGTCCCTCTGGTGTACCAGCCACACCCCCAGGTTTTGCAGATGATTAATAAAGATATTAAACAGGCCTGGACCCAGAATTGACCCCTGGTGTACACTGATGGTTACTGGCCCCCAACTCAACTCTCTGGGCCTGGCTGTTCAGCCAGTTTTCAGTCCACCTCACTGCCTGCTCATCCAATCCCAACTTCATCAGCTTCCCTGTAAGGTTTTTATGGGAGATGGTGTCAAAGCCTGGAGTCCAGGTGGACAATATCCACTGTTCTCCCCTGCTCTACCACGCCAGTCCTTTCAGCACAGGTGCTCAAGCACAGCTGCCCCTTGCTGAAGCACATGATTTAATATTTAATTACACTTCATGATTTCATTGTCCTTCATGTGCCTGGAAGTGGTTCCTAGAATTAGCTGCTGCATCACTTTCTCGAGGATGAAGGGAGACAGGTCTGTAGCTCCTGAGGTCTTCTTGATCCTTTTCAAGACAAAAGTGACATTTGCTTTCCTTCAGTCTTTGAGCCAGGACTGCTCAAAGACAACAGGGAATGGCCTTGCTGTTCCATGAGCCCGCTGATCCCATCTCGGTCCGTGGATTTCTGCATGTCTAGGTTCCTTAAGCGTTCTCTGACCTCATCTTCTTCCACCAAGGGTGCATCTTCCTTGCTCTGGACTTTCTCCTGGTTTCTGGGGTCCCCTGCCTCATTCAACCCCAGGCCCTTGTGGTTCCCTCCTCTTTCCTTTGTCACTTGGGTACTTGGAGAAGCCTTCCTTGTCTCTGACATCCTTGGCTGGATCCAGTTCCAGTTGGGTTTTGGCTTTCCTGACTTCATTCCTGCATGCTGGGAGAATTTCCCTGTGTTCCTGCCAGGTTACCTGTCCCTGCTCCCACCTTCCATGGGTCTCCTTTCTGCATTTGTGTTTGGAGCTCCTGGTTCATCCCTGTTGCCCTGCTGGCATTTTTCCCTGGCTCGGGATGCTTCTTAGGGAGGGCTGTTCTTGAACTTGGAGGAGGTGACCCTTGAGTTTTAGCCATCATTTTTGCCCTGACTGCATCCCCTCACCAGAGGTCTGGAGACATTTTCAGACTCATCAAGGTTGAAAATTCCTCCAAGATCCTCAAGTCCAAACTTCAGCCAAATGCCACCATGCCCAAAGACTCTCCATGTGTTCCTGGTGGTGTCACTGGAGCAGCAAAGGGCAATAGTCAAAGGGTTAGAAGAGCCTCACATCCCTCCACAACACCCCAATCCACATCCCCAGCAAGAAAAATGCTCTGGTTGGTGTCCCTGTCCCCAGCAGTAGGAAGTGACCCACTCCTGTCACCTGCTGCTTCCTCCTGAGGCTCTTGCATTAATTAGGGTCAGGGCCCTTGTGATTTAGGGTCAGGGCCCACGTGGTCTGTTGGAAGGCGTATCTGGCTCCTGCTCAGCTTGGAGGGTGGTGACCCTGTTCTGTAGGTGTGTTTAGGTGAGGAGGAGCCACCTCGGTGCCAGAAGGCACCAGCGTCCACGCTTCCCCAGAGGCTGCACCTGCCATTATCCCAGGAAGGAGTAATGTCTGTGTGTGCAGCTGGTGCCTGGGGCTCTCCAGGCTCTTGTGTCCCTCAGCAGGCTGTCCCTGTCCCTTCCATCTTGGGTGACTGTCCCATGGCTCCTCCACACAGGCTGGGTGCTCGGGTGGTATAGATGCTGGTGGGCAGGAACAGAAATAACCTCATTTTGCTAGGTACAAAAAGGAGATACAAAAATGTTCCATTTAAAGCAGGGTCCTTGGCCACTGCGAGAGGCTTGGGGTGTGCATGGGCTGGGTGGGGACGCTGGGTGTGGCCAGGCTGTGACCTCTGTCCCCTCCCTTGCAGGGAAGCGTCACCGAGAGCAGCGACACGCAGAGCAAAGCCACCCCCTCCTCTGAGACCACGCCACTCCTGTGTGACAGCCCCAGCCAGGACAGCCCCGAGGCCTGAGCCACCCCCGGCACACTTCCCATGGGGACAGCTCCTCCCTGGGACACCCTCCCAATGGGACAGCTCCCACTGGGACACCCTCCTGCTGGGACAGCTCCCACTGGGACACCCTCCTGCTGGGACAGCTCCCACTGGGACATGGCCACGCTGCAGGTGACGCTGCTTTGGATCCCCAGAGCTCTTTGGAAGATGAAGTCGTGGACAGCTCGGTCAAGATCCTGCACAGCCCAGCAAAACCATGGGACAGCCCTGCAGCTCAGCATACCTGCTCATCCAGAAGCCTCAACACTGTCCCAGAACCCTTTTGTCCCCAAGGGCCAGCCTGAGCCACTGCTCTTCTCTCCAGTGGAATGAAGAAGTTATTTGCAATTTAAAACTGCCTATTGCTAGGGATAAAAGGCACTCTAATGGCAGCCTTTAAAATAAATGAGGTTTGTATAGGTAGCACTGATGGGATTTAGTGATCTTTTTAAAAGCCACTGTTCATCTCACCAAATGGGACACGCTGTCCTGGAGCCACTCACAGTTTTATTGCCACTTTTGGACTACACTGCAAATCATTTCTGGGCGCTGTCACTTCAGTGATATCTCTTGCCACAGTACCTGGAGCCTGCCTGGGGTTGCTCCAGCTTTTGCTTGTGCTGGAGAGGAGTGGTGACTTTCAAAGCCCCAGCTCTGTGCCATGCCCTTGTGCTCCACAGCGATTCCAGCTCACAGCCCTGATACTTAATCTCTCCTGGCTGAAGGTGGCTGTGTGAGATGGGCCTTGGCAAAAGCTCGGTGGTCCATGTGAGGTGTCACTCAGCTCCTGGCAGTTGTCCCTGCTGCCTGCTCTGCCATCTGGGACCAGCTCTTCTGGCCGTGGCCATCGGCACTGGGAGCACTGGTCACCCTGGCTGAGCACGGGAGGGGAAGCTTCGCCCTGTCCTTGCGTGTTAATGAAGATATTTGTGCTTTTGGGAAGCAGGAATGGGTGCAATCCTGAAAGTAACAATGGCCTTAAGAACTTCACCTTGTCCTTGCGTGTTAATGAAGACATTTGTGCTTTTGGGAAGCAGGAATGGGTGCAATCCTGAAAGTAACAATGGCCTTAAGTAGGGTTTGATTAAAGTATTGCAGATTTCTGAAATGGTGTGCTGGGTGACCTGGGGCTGGATGTTACCTGGGGGTGGGTGGTTTGGGCCTCACTTTCATGGGAAGGAACCCCAAAGCTTAGGAATATTTTTGGAAAATTACCAACATGTAGTCATCTACCACACCTGCCTTGCCCACTTCCAGCCAGAAGTTTGGGAAAACCAAAGGAGCCAGTGCTGGAGCATCTGACAAGGATGAGACAGAGGTGGGGAATCTCTGCTCTGGCTTGGAGCAGGGCACTTGTTGCACTGTGTGTGACACGGATGCTCATGGGGTGTGGAAACCTTTGTCCAGGACAGCCCAGTGACCTTCTAGTGGGGTAAGCAATGCTTTTCTCTTACACCTCCATTCCTGGGCAGGAAGAGCGCAGGATGTACAGTGGCAGAGAGCAGCTCACAGGCACAGCCTCGTCCCGCGGTGATGAGCCAGGAGCGGGGCAGAGGCTGTGACACCACAGGGTACCCAAGTGACAGCACGCTGGGCTGCCTTTGAGGGGCTCTGACGGCTCTGCGGCGCTCACTGCAGCCGGACGAGCGAGCAGGAATAGCACAGGGGCAGGGGCACTGAGCAGAAGCCCCGCGGGGTTTATTGTTGCGGTTCTGCAGAACGCGGAGCTGCCGCTCCCCGCTCGCGGTGCTGCGGCCGCCGGAGGGCGCTGTGGGGCTGCGGACGGGCCGGGACCGGGGTGGGGATGGGGGACAGACACTGAGGGACAGGGGGACAGAGGGACAGGGGGACAGAGGGACAGGGGGACAGAGGGACAGGGGGACAGAGGGACTGACAGTGGGGGACAGAGGGGACAGGGGGGACAGAGGGACAGGGGGGACAGAGGGACAGGGGGACAGGGGGACAGAGGGGACAGGGGGGACAGAGGGACAGGGGGGACAGGGGGACAGAGGGGACAGACACTGGGGGACAGAGGGACAGGGGGACACTGGGGGACAGAGGGACAGGGGGGACAGGGGGACAGACACTGGGGGACAGAGGGACAGGGGGACACTGGGGGACAGAGGGACAGGGGGGACAGGGGGACAGACACTGGGGGACAGAGGGAACAGAGGGACAGGAGGGACAGAGGGACAAGGGGACGGGAGGGGACAGAGGGACAGGGGGACTGACCCTAGGGGACACGGGGAACAGAGGGACAGTGGGGACAGAGGGGACAGAGAGACAGAGGGGGACAGGGGGACTGACCCTGGGGGACAGAGGGGACAGAGGGACTGACCCTGGGGGACAAAGGGACAGAGGGACTGACACTGGGGGACAGGGGGGACAGGGGGACTGACCCTGAGGGACAGGGGGACCCAGACACAGCAGGGACAGAGGGTCTGACCCTGGGGGGCAAGGGGGGACAGAGGGACAGGGGGGACAGAGGAGGACAGAGGGATGGGGGGACAGGAGATGTGACCCCGGGGACAGAGGCCCCGGGCACGGTCAGAGATGCTCGGCACCGATCCCCTGCCCCGAACGCCGCCGTGTCCGTCCATCGGCACGCAGCGCTCTGGTTGTTGTCCTGCTGTACTTCAGTCACCTTGTTGGCTGCCTGTGAATTTTCCAGCTCGTTTTAAAATGCTTCTCACAGCGCCGAGTCCTTCCCTGGCCCTGAGTCACTGTCCCTTGCCAGTTCCCTCCGCACAGGCGCTCAGGGCTGTCACAGTCATTCACCCTCTCCCGAGGGTTTGAATTACCCCCACGGGCTCAGTTATCATCACAACAATCTCGATTTACTGTGGGAGCCGCCTTTCACCCGGCCTGGCACAGCCATCGGAAATGAAGGAGTCATCTCCATCCTCCAGGCACTTCATCACCCAGGGGACTGTCAGGGCTGGTGTCAGCTTCCCCCAGGGTGTGACAGAGGCTGCACTGTCTCCTCTGGAGCAGAGGAAAGAGAGAACACAGCCCCCACACACACACTGGGGTCAGCTGCTTTTATAAATGCAGCACAGGCTGGTCCCATTCCGGGCATCCATCCCTACCCCACCTCTGTAGGGGTGAGGGGACAGTGCAGGTCCCTGTCCCGGGGCAATCTCTGTTATCCCCCTCAGCTGTGCCCTATCACTGCCAGGTGTTCATTGTTAACTATGCTGGGTTAAAACCTGTTGGGCACAGGAGGTTCTGCTCAGTGTGTGTGGCTGCAGGATGTGCTGCCCAGAGCTCCAGGGGTCTGTGTTTGGTGTTTGTGGCTGCAGGATGTTCTGCCCAGAGCTCCAGGGGTCTCTGCCCAGTGTTTGTGGCTGTTCCCCACCACATCCAGCTCTGCTCTCCTGCACCCGAGGCTCCTCCAGCACTGACCAAATCCCCCAGCAACACAGAATGGTGAGTGGGGCCCTGGGGTGGCTGTGGGCTGATGCGTCTCTTAGGGCAGAGCTCATGCTCTTCTTGCTCAGAAAAGCCTCAAAAACTCCCCAAACAGAGCAAAGTGGAGCTGATGCACTTACAGGGATGGTGTGGTGGTGTTTGATGGGGAAGTGGTTTCTTCCTGGAAGCTGTACGGTGCCCAGCTTTATGTCCCTGCAGTGTGGGACTGCAGGGCCCAAAATGCAGGCAAGAGATGCCTGGAGGAGATGAAGTGACTTGTGGTGCCTGGTTTCTCTTGCTTTTGGCCACAATGAAGCTCTCTGTCTGGAAGAAAAGTGCTGGAGGGAAGACCAGCAGCTGGTGTGGTTTTGGAGGAGAGCCTGGGCTGTGCCTGGGCACTGCAGGGTTTGCTCCTGTGCAGGATTCAGCTCAAAAAACCCATCGCCCTGCCATGTGCAGCTTGGGGCTCAGCCTGGGCCCTGCTCCCAGGCTGTGTGAGGGCAGAGAGCAAATAAAAATAAATAGAGGCAGTGGCTGACCACAGGAGGGGGGAGCTTCACCTCGTCCTTGCGTGTTAATGAAGATATTTGTGCTTTTTGGGAAGCAGGAATGGGTGTAATCCTGCAAGTAACAATGGCCTTAAGAACTTCACCTTGTCCTTGCGTGTTAATGAAGATATTTGTGCTTTTGGGAAGCAGGAATGGGTGCAATCCTGAAAGTAACAATGGCCTTAAGTAGGGTTTGATTAAAGTATTGCAGATTTCTGAAATGGTGTGCTGGGTGACCTGGGGCTGGATGTTACCTGGGGGAGGGTGGTTTGGGCCACACTTTCATGGGAAGGAACCCCAGAGCTTATGAATATTTTTGGAAAATTACCAGCCTGTAGTTCATCTACCACACCTGCCTTGGCCACTTCCAGCCAGGAGATGCTGATTCCACCACCTCCCTAGGAAGACAATTCCAGTATTTTATTATTCTTTCAGTGAAAATTTTCCCTAATGTCCAACCTAACCCTTCCCTGACTAGCTTGAGGCTGTGTCCCTGCTTCCCCTCCCCATCCACGTGGCAGTAAGGAGCTCCCACTGGAGCTCAGGGTGGTGATGTGCAGCCAGCTCAGATCCCTGCTCCCTGTGTTTGGGAGAAACAAGAGAAACAATTCCTAAAAAGGAGCAGCCAGATGGAAAATTGATACCAAATGGTGCTCTCAGTCCCTTGAGGAGCAAGGCTTGATCCCTCAGCCTTTGGTTCCTGGGGGTTAGGACAGAGGCATACAATGTTGTTTTAGAGGCATTTCTTTTTGAAAAGTTGATTATTTTATTTTTTTGTAAGTTCCTAATTTTCTCAGCTGTAAACTAGCTTCAGGTTTGGTGCTGATGGGACAAAGTGCTGCTTTGGCTATGTGTGATGTCTGCAGGATGAGGATGGTTCCCAGCCTGGTTCTCCCTCCTGTGGCTGTTGCTGCTGGGTGTTCCTGGGGGTGTCCAGCTGCATTTCTGGCCTGAGTGACACTGTGAAAAGCCTCATCTCCCCAGGTGACCCAGCTGCTCCTGAGCTCTCCATCTGTCCTGGCTCCCAGAGGAAATTCCTCCTGAGCAGCAGTGCCACGGGCAGGAGGCTTCAGGGGGTGCCCAGAGCTGGGGGTGCTGGGTCCCAGTGTCCCACAGGCCTGGAGAGAGCTCAGCTTCCAGGGAAGGAATTTCCACAGCTGCAGATCCATCCCCAAAGACAGCATTTCAAGGAATTTCCCTCTCCCCTCGCTGCAGACTTCCTCTGCTTTTCCAAGCAAGGCTCTGGCTTGGGGCCATTTCTGCAGAAACCGGAGCAGAGCAGATCCATGGGAACATCCGGGGCTGGAATTTGTGTTTTCCAGGTTCACAGCCCATGGCTCTTATCTGCATTAAGTGTCCCCAGTTCCAACACTGAGCCTCTCTCTCAGCTGTCTCCCTTGGGAGCACTGTGTTTCCAGAGCTCTGGATGCCACGAGGAGCAGGAAAAGCACCTTCACTGATGACTAAAATAATTGGCAATTAGGGGTTTTTTAGTGTGTTTTTTTTTTTTTGTTTTGTTTTTTTGTTTGTTTGTTTGTTTTTGAGCAATTTCTGGTGCTGGTAACTCATCCCCCCCTCATGACAGGGCTGCTCCAGGTCCAGATGTGCTGAGCATCCTGGAGGGGTGCAGGGGGGGATCCCCTGAGGGTGTCCAAACAGCTTTTCTGCCCCCAGAGAGCTGCCAGGCAACTCGTGGCTGTGCTTTCCCCCCTCTCCTGGTGATGCTGTGTTTGCAAGGTTAATTTCCACGCCCTGATGGGAACAGGGAATGATTTGGGGGCTCTGGAGGAGGTGACCCCTCTCCCTGGCAGCCAGGGCTGAGGGCAGGGATCACGTTTCCCCCTCCCCACCTGAACAGCACTACTGGAGACATCCCTTGTGGATTTTCTTCAGCTCATAAATACTCCCCTGCCCTCGGTGCCCCTAGCAAATAAATTATCTGAAGCTACATTTCCCCATTTCAAAGCCTTGTGAAAGAAACCAGGGGGTTTAGCAGCCCTGGCTGGCTGGAGTGGTTCACATACCATGCACCCATTTGTATTTGATCTTCTTCATCCTGTGTGAAGTAATCCTTGAGAGCTCAGTGGGCTGCAGCCTCTCCGTGCCTGTAAATCACTGGGGCATGCCACAGGCTGTAAATGAGCGGGGT